CCTACATTTCATCTTGCACTGTTATAGTTGTGTAACACCCAGTCATGCCAGCATGGTCAGTGCACAATGTGGCCTATCATCATGATACATGTGTAACTAGTGAAGTTGCTAATGATATGCATGTGACGGAGTCATCAGGAAGTATATAGGCCCTCCTATTGTCAGTACGAGTGTACACTTGACAGTTTCTCCACATTCACATAAGTTTGTGAACAGGCGTTTGAATAATAATCAGTGGGACTAAATGCTGAAGAATCTGAAGCATTTACTATAATTTGTCAAGAGTAAGCCGAAACTCCTCTTGGAGTCATCACGTGGTTCCTTGAGGCAGTCACATAAATAAAAGAGTGACGAATTCTGGGCTTACACTTATTACGTGAGAGCAGTTCCTACATACGCAGATTTTCTATTTGCTTTTTTTATCATTTTTTGTCAATAAAGTATTCTACAAACTAATACAAATTGATGAATAGATAACATAAAACCAAAAAAAATTAACGTTAAAGAGCAAGTAGCATGTATTTTGCAAGTACGGGGCACGGAAATGAAAGAAAACGGTAAAGGCGCCCTCTATAAACACCATGAAGCAAAGGGCGACAGCACGCATCGCCTCGTGCGTCGTGTCGTGCGTCACGTCGTGCTTCAGGAGACATATTACACAACGCGATGCACGACACGATATATGACGCAACACAGGACCGACGATCGACTGAAGGAGTTTGGTCAGAGAAATGCAAGAAGGAATGGATGTAAGACATTACGACGTGACGGGCAACGGCACGACGCGTGTCATAGGTTGGCGCCGTCGCCTTCTTGCCATTATTACATTTGTACACAGACGGCACGACTCAAGGGAGCCGTTGTCCCGTCGAGTATTGTAGTTGCGTTGCCTTGGAAGAGGCTAGAGAGAGACAGAAATGTGTGTCGTAAATGGTACACCATATATTATTCCTAAACCAACCCGAAGTAAAGGTCTTTGCACTTGACAGGTCACGCGTGACAGACACCAGTATTACGTGTACGCGTAGCAGTACGTACCAATACGTTTGTACATAACATGTTTGGTTTCCTGTAGTACCATACTGCAGGCAGCAGTGTAACTACGGGGGGGGGTCACAGGGGCACGTGCCCCTTCCCCCAGCGGATGCTCTTGCTCCACACCGAGTGCACCCCCACACACACACACAAATCTCAGTTGCGGTTTAATACATAGCTATGCAGCAGCAGCTTATTTTCTTGTAAGAGTCCCATTTGTGAGCACTCCCAGCTGCCCCCCGGAAATTTAGCCCCAAGAGACGCCACTGACAGCGGTTGGTACACGTACATGTACATGTACATTGTATAATGCCGTGACAGTACACAGTGGCTCATCGGTGGTTTGCCCTTCGACAGAAAAGGCCGCCTTGGTCAAGGCTAGTGAACGCTTCAACCTCCATGTGACAGTTCATTCGACTTTGAAACATTTATCGCTATTCATGCTTTATAAAAGTGTACATAAAGCACCCATTGAACTCGTATTAACTCCTTAAGGCTGAAAAGTACATGCATTTGTTTGGAATCGGTTGTGTTGCTGCTATCTCATAAGTTTAGTCCAGGATTGTTTTGGGATGGACATTTTATTAGCGCTTTATAATTTATTGAACGAAGTTGCCATAGTTCCCAGCTCCAAGTTGTTTGGTCACATCATGATCAATTGTCTATTGGCACACTGCAATTTTAAGCCCCCTTTTTGCTTTCTTGTACCATATAATGGGACACTCTTTGTAACACAGTCTCACTCAGAAGAAATTAACTTGAGCACTTCTTTTTCTTCAATATACTTCATTGACCAGACTAATGTTTTGTCACCTAGCAATCGTATTTATGCACTAGGTAGCTAGGTATAGATTCACTTGGAAAACATCTCCATGTGGGTAATAAAGGTGGCATGATTTTTATTAACAGTTTGGAGCGACCCATCGCAACACAAACGATGGTATGCTACATCAGAAATAGCACCATCTTTGCTCTCACAAATATTGAGATCTTTAACTTAGATTCCTATAGAGATGGCTTCGCTTTTGGATCAAAATGGCCGACTTGTGAACAAGGGCAATATTGGTTGTTGAGATTATAAATCAACTCACCCGTAGCGAGCAAATTGGGTCCAGTACTCTATCGTTCTGTTGGACAGGAGAGCCGCCTCCGTGTCATTCGGATAAACAGCGGTAATGAAACCAAAGACGTAGAAGATTTCTAAGGCATGTGGTGCCCCAGAGATCACATCCAACCACTCTGGCGGGAGAAAGAGCTCCCTGCCAGTTTCGTAGGTGAAATGGTAAAAATATGTGCTTGTGTTGGCCGCAGCTTGAGCGTGTCGAGTTAGGAAATTGATGCTGGCCACGTCAAAGTAAACATCACCGGTCACATCCAGGTATCTCACCACATTTTGCATGGGGTCGTCCAGCTTGTCTGCACCGAAGTAGTAGGCAAAGACTGCGTTGGTGATTTCATGTGAAGTTTTACACTGACACAGTTGCATGAAATATCCTGTAGCTGCCCTAAACTCTTCGGCCGTATAACCATCTGTGTCTACACTTCCAATTAAAACGCTTCCATCTTGGTCGTTGAACCCCATGATGAGATCGTATTGTCCAATCCGAGGATGAGTCAGGAGGGAGGTTATATCGGTGGGAAAGAAGTCCCCATCGATAATTGGGGACGTTGATGCAGCGAAAGTGTAAATAAGTAGGGTTTCCATACTAACATTCCGGAGGCATTGGATTATGCTACGGGATGAACTGTCGGTTGTGGGGTTACACTTAAGCGCTGACGCCAACCCAAATGCCTGAAGCCGAGCTACATCAGCCGGGATCATCAGGTTAGGGAACACCACTCCACTCTCGGCAATTACCCGCTGAAAAAGATTGTTACTGTTTAGAGGTGAAATCATTTGTAAGGTCACGCTCCATCCTCCTGCCGACTCACCAAAGATGGTGATTTGGTCTGGATCACCACCAAAGTTGGCGATGTTGTCTTTGACCCACTGGAGAGCGAGACGTTGGTCCCACAGTCCGTAGTTCCCAGGTGCTGAGTCATCTCCGGTGCTGAAGAAGCCGAAAATTCCGAGTCGATAGTTGAAGTTAACCATGATAACCTGTCCTTGTAGGGCCAAGAGTGTGCCATCATAGTACATACCTTGTCCAAAGACTAAACCTCCACCGTGAATGAAAACCATGACGGAAAGAGGCCCAGATAAAGCCACGGCATCATGAGGAACGTACACGTTCAGAAGCAGACAGTCTTCATCAATCTCGTCATTTGGGAGAAAAGAAGTCAACGTTGAATTCGAGGCAGGTTGGGGGCAGCTTGGCCCAAACACAGTGGCGTTGAACACGTCGTCCCACGGAGTTTTCGGTACGGGCTTGGCGAAGCGCAGCTGCCCAATCGGTGGCTCAGCGTACGGTATGCCTGTGTATCGCGTTACAAGTTGTTCCGTCCAAGGGAGGTACGGTACTTTTATCCCCATGACAGGGCCTAACGTGGTATTTGTAATAACGGTTTGTGCCCATCCAGCGTGCAAAGAAGCCGTGAAAACGAGTAAAGTTGGGAGGATGACACCCAAAGCATGTTTGGAAGCCATCTCGATATAGGCAGAGTAAATCCGACAGCTGTTTACTTCGAGAGTGTTATCAGAGTGCAATGGTGCAGTGGGACCTCCGAGCTCAGTTTTCCTAAATAGGCCTCGGGACAATAAGCGTCAAAAGTTTTCCTTTCGCGACGCACCTTACGTGTTCACTTCGTGTTTACACTGTCCGACGGATATAAATCTAATTTATGATTTACATGTTCTAGATATTGTCAACTCCCGCACGTTAATGAGCCAAAAAGGGAGAAAAAAGCTCCAATTGACTCTTTTCGGAAAGTGCCTAAAAGTCAGTGTAGTCTGGTGCTGATCCAAATTGTTATGTAACGTCTGGGAACCAATCACATTTCTGACGTGACGGATGTTCGTTTGGTTTAATGCGTGAGTTCAGCCGTGGGATGGAGACTACCACCTGAAGTACAATGTTGTGCAGCGGAATTCTTGGGTTGTTTCTAGAAATGTGAACACCGATGGAGTAGAAAAACCTATAAACCACAATCCGAGGGTCGAAATTGATCACACGCTGCAACAGCCTGTTTTGGGGGGAAGGTTTTGTTGGAAAACTTGCAAAAGCGGCTAACATCTCTGGAAAAGGTCGATTATAAACCCAAATATTTTTAGATTGATTTTCCTGCTGATAAGATATAAATATTCTGTACAATGTCTCAGTACATCACACTGCTTGACCATTTTATAGATATTGACATAAGTTAGCGAGTTATTTGGTTATCTTTGGTGCGTGTGGAGTGAGTAAACAGATTGTGCCGTTGCCATGTTCATGCCGTCGGTGTTATCCACATGTTACGTACAGGTTGGAAATGTGTGACCAAAAGTAGATGATGTTTGCAAGTTGTCCAACAGAGCCTTCCCGAAAAAAGCAGGCTGTTGTAGCATGTAATCAATTCCAACCCCTTGATTTTGATTTGATGTGGTTGGTTATGCTTGAGTGGTTGGTTGTGGTTGATTGTGGAAGAGTGTACCGCGCGTGATGTGTCATACAGTGGAATATTCCATACAAAGTTTGTGAAATAAGTCACCTAGTACACCTAGGCACGGGTTTCATAAAGAAGGAACGATCTGGGAAATTGAGTCAACAAGATACTGAATAGACCGCGAAGGTCGTGTACGCAACTATGCCTAGGTTTCACAAAGGACGACTCGCTTGATTAATTCCAAACTGATCTGATCTTGATGAATGTATACACTGCGCGGGCAAGGGCATGAAACCATGAAATACAAACGCATAATAGACATCATGTGTATGCCTAGTACAGCCCTCTTCTGGGTTTGTTTCTTGCTAAGTTATAATCATTTCGTGGAGGGATAATCCCTTCACGGTATGCGAAGGACAAGTAGAGGTACAGGTAGTTTACATATTTTTGAAAAGCGCCTTTTCCTTATGATTCAGCAATCTGGTGAAAGAGCTTGGGCTATTCCTGGAGTTCGCATTTTGTGAACAAGTTTCCCGTCTTCTGTACCACTAGTAATGCGTTCGTGTTTCCGGGTGAGGGCAAACTATAGCATAGGTGTAAGTAAGGCATACACATGGTATCTATTATGTGTGGAGTTTCATGGTTTCGTTGCCCCTTGCCCGCGCTGTGTATATGGCTTCATGAAGACCAGATCAGTTTGGAATTTATCAAGCGAGTGGTCCTTTGTGAAACAAGTTTCCTTCCTCAACTTATTTTTCTTATTGTTCAGGGTCGTAGACTGGAATGCAAGTTAGCTTTTGTGATGGAAACGAGACGTTTGGTGACTTATTTTTGTGAGTCAATAATCTTAAGTAATCAAAATATGCAGTAGCCTTTTTCGAGCAGTGAAAATTCGTTTATTTCCTCTCTTCGTGCAAAAGACATCATGATATTTTTGCAATCGGGGTTTTCATATGAATGTGAAACACATAAATATGAAGCCAGCGTTGAACTAAAGGCCACCCTTATAGTCATTAGCTTGCAAAAGTTTTTAAAGCCAGATTCATGAACTTAAAAATGAGGTTCGCTGTGATTTTATTCTGTCACAGCAATGCATTGCTTAACCGAAAGTCCGGTTGATATTCAAATAGTGTAGAATTTAGTAGGGTTTAATGATGTCGATAAAAAACAGTTTACGATATGTCAAGGGACGATACTCTCTTTGCACGAAATGGCTCAATACCTCTTTTAAAAAACGTTTGCACTTATGGCTTTACCATGTGTGTCATTACAAACGTCCACTGCAAATATATATGTGGGGTATATCTTCAGGAAAACGCCTACAAAAATATTCCCAACGGTTTATGTTGTACTCTATGTTGGCAAGACGCAGTGCGGCGTCTCCATTTGAGACTACGGCATACACAAGTATCGAAAACTGGCTACGGCTCTCCAAAAGAAGCAGCGGTGCACCGCTGCTTCTTTTGAAAAACATTCAAAGCCGTGTCGTAGGTCTGCTGGAGACAGGACCGGATTTTGGCTACCCTGTCATGCGCCACCCCAAACAATCCCATGTATTAACTAAACTGAAACACGCCGGCAGTGCTGGGTGAACGTACGTGGAAACGTAGGCGTAGTTGCGTACACGACGTTCGCGTTCAACTCAGTATCTTGTTGACTCATTTTCCCAAATCGTTCCTTCTTTATTTTACTAAGTGCGTATGGAAAATTCCGCTGTGTGACACCGTCACAGTACACAGCCATTTCACTGCAGACGCCAACATTCAGTTGCGCAGTGGGTCAGAATGGGATATCAAGGTGCGCCCCCCCCCACCAAAAAATAAAAGTCGCAATCGCTTGCACGGCAACTTTGGTTTTCAGAGTTCAGACCCAATGGTTGGTCGTCATGTAAACAACTGGTATTATAGATTTTTTCCTGTGATGTCCCGATTGTGCTGGACCTGTGATGTGTTGTGATAGTATCAGTGCATAGTGTTGTGATGGTAATCTACCTATTCAAGACAAACTAGTCAACCATGCGGTTGGCACGTGCACTTGCACGTGGTTGAAGCTGCCCATATGAATACATATATATGCATCGCCGTGACCAAGGCGGTCCACACTTGAAAAGATGATATTGTTCTCATTAGAGCAATCCAGTCACTTGGGTGAACAGGGGTTATATGTTCTTCTTGAGACGATTCGTTTTGGTATTGCAGATTTGCTGGTCTGTAGAATAGGCCTACCAATGCTTGAAGTGGAACAAGTTGAACCAGGTACAACCGTGCCTTTCAATGTGAGACCTTTTTCCAGTGATGTCACGATCGTGCTGGACCTGTGGTGTGTTGTGATGGTAATCTCAACACAGTGTACAGTGAAATAATGGACGTAGGGACACAGATCGATGTTACTGTGTGTAGAACTTGTGTACCCCCCCCCAAAAAAACACAGGTAACATGAAACTTGAATAGCGCCCCCAGGAGGCTTGCTTGAGAAAGTAAACAATGAGATGAAGTTACAGACACTGCCAGCAGGTTTTGTGCACAACTTTTTGACTGTACCCTCTTTGACCCAATGAGCCATATCGAAAGCCCCTATTACAAGTCACAATTGAAAGTTGAAAGAGTTCAGATCCATAACTTCATTGTCGACAGACGTCCATTGGAATTGGCCGACAATATAGGAAATTCTTGAATACTTAATACTTTACGGCTTTTTTTAGTGGTGGGAGTAGTTTTGATAGCTTTTTGCAGGTTTGGGGATAGAAGAGAGATAATACTCAAGCCCACCACCTTTCTCCCAATAACACGAAGACACTTTGCCTTTTGCAAGGGGCCACGGACCTCATTGCCTCCCTTATTGCGACATTTTCAATTAGATTACCAGCTTGTTCCTTCTGTAGGTTTTGCAGTGAAACCTCACACGATTGAATGATATACCCTTTTTCGAATGCTTTTTGTTTGCTCATTCCAGTTACAATCAAGCAGACGGAATCTGAATCAGTTTTTCTTTGTTGTGTCAGCTTTGTTGGAGTTATGACTGTAAACTGCAAAAAAAGATTTTTCGTATTAACGCCCTTGTGAAACTGTGCAAAGGAATTCCCTTTACGCGCTTTCTGGGAGAAGTGTTTGTGCTCTCTTCTGCTTGAAACATTGTGAAAATGACAGTCAGATTTACTTGGCCGACCTCTCCAATGTTCTGCCAGGCTCGGTTGATGTGACATCTTCATCAAATGCCAACAGTAATTTTATCTGCTGTCCTGTTTTTGAGAGCTACCAATAAATGTCAGCTTGGAAACATAATTCCCTTTGGCTCCTCCGTGTTCTTACGTTCAAAGTTGTGTTCGTTTCGGGTGCTTGTGCCCATTTCCTTTGTAAAGCACCCTGCTTTTTTTGCTTCTCGACACCGGACTGCCGAATCGTCTGCAGAATGTCACACAGCTGTATGTTACATGGCAAGACCATGTAATGCATGTTGCTTTCTCAACCAAAAGTACATCAACATAATACACAGAAAAGCTACTGGCTTGCCATAATAATTTACACACTGACACTCCTTTGAAAATGAAACTGCCCGAGGGTATAATATTGCAGAACACTGACTTGTTAAGAAAGTGTAGAATTAAGGCGAGGCCAATGAGACTCGATACCGTTAACAGAGGTCAGAAAAGGGACCAACAAGCATCTGACTTGAAAAACTGACCTCAAATCGTTGATCGCAGACCCGTGTAGTACGAAAATGATGCAGAAAGGCTAACTGGCTTAAAGGAAATGGCAAGAAGGCGACGGTCAAACCCGACGGCACGACGCAAGGGAGCATGAAATTCATGACCAGCCAGAAGAAAGAGGTGTTGAATTAATGTCAAGGGTTTTCTCTCTGCTCAAATTACGTTTGCATAATTGTATTATCTTGGCAAAAGCAGTGACTGGTTTTAGCCTCAAAACTGTAGGTAATTAATTTAGTGTTACCTTCCATGTTCTAACATGATGTTACTAAGAGTTTTGTACTTCCAATAAAGCTCAAATCAGTGTTGGTAAATTTTGTGACGTAGATTAACAAGAGTTGAAGGCATTCCAAGTACATGAAGACAAAGGTTTGCGATGGCACCATGTCTATTTTGTCATTGGGTGGGTCTCTGACAGGAAGGCTGGCGGACTCAACGTAGGCCTATCGAACATTGTGTCGTGTCCTTCATCAGGAGAAATTAGGGATTCCGACTTGAAGAGAGCTCATACAGAAGATCTTGGAGCAGAGAGACGTGAAGAGGATGCAACAGCTGAGTCCTGCCGTAGATCGGCGAAGTGTGGGAGCTGCGAAGGCTGTTCGCAGTAGGAAAGAGGATTACGTCCAGTCATACATCGTTTAACACTCACAGCCTCCAGAACACCGCATCAACTGGCACAGACAGAATTAATTCACCTGTATCCAGCATTATTTCCCCGTCTTTAAATAGAAAATTACGCACTGACTGATTATATTTTTATAAGGATAAATGGCATATATTTTTAAGAAAATATACCTGGTCTTTTTTGTATACAATATTGATCCTCGCTATTAAATAACTTTGCCATATTAAAATTTCAAAGGTGACTGAGTAAACCTGAATTAAAAGTATCGTATCAACTAAATGTACACGTATCAGGAGTTCTTCCCAAAAGTGGTAGCTGCAAGCATCTTACCTGCAGAGCTGTATATGCAGAGAAAGACGTAGCACCAGTTTCAGATTTTAAAAAAAGTCTGATCATTATGTGTACAGTAGAGCGAGCAGCTATAGTACGCAAACTGTCCATGTGCACTGGAACATACGCCTGTCAGTTTGTTTTCAACAATGGTGAACACTTAAACTTATGTCCCAACTCTCTCTACACACGGCTCTGTTACTCTGCAAAGCTGCTACTCTGGACACGAGTACCCTCTCACCTGTGGTCCAGATGACAATCGAACGCCATTAGTCCTATACAATCATGACAACGTGGAGACACACTGGGTTGAGTGTAAGGACATGCCAACGAAAAGACTTTTGTTATATCATATTTCACCAACGTAAGTGGATTTAGTGTGTTGAATTCATAACGTCGAATAATTATGAGCACAACATTTTAAACTATGTGACAAAATAGCTGTGCCCCTGCAGAATACGTCTGTTAAAGGTACGTTCCATCCAGTTGTTTGTTCTTAAATGTCCATGAATAAATCGTTTCTCGTTTGAGAAGCTGCTTCCTTTAGAAACAGAATCCAAACCCTGAGTATCTTTTGTGCATACACATTTTCCTGTTATACATTTGGTTGTAGAGTCACTTTGTCAATTCTACATGTCTTGGTTAAAATATAGGTTATAAGCTATCAGGTTAGTCTACTTAACCTAAATTAGTCTACTCAGTAAATTCAAACTTATTAACATTTAGCTAGACCAACATTTCTGTTCTCCAGTACATGTATATGGTAACTATGGTAACTTACTAACAAGGACTAACTGCAAGGAATAATGTGCCCGTAATACTTGCTCAGGAAGGACGCCCATGTTACCTTAATCCGGTTGAAGGAAGTTGAAGAGCTTGTTTGATGTCCTTTAATTTTCAACAGTTTTTAATTAATTTGACAACCTTTGAATCGACGTTTTCATTCGGACATACGTGTACTGCATATCTGGACGTTTTGATGGTTTAGCTTCAAAGCCTAGAGCTAAATTCCTCTCTCTCTGCATCATCCAAGTAATGTGCCAGGCCTTTCCCCTTGCCTTTCTGACTTTGCACCTCAATCCGCTTTGCCCGAGCCCTGTATGCCATACAACCCCCAAAAAAGAAGACAGACAACACCAAAGCACCTATGACTGCTCCAATCAGAGCTTCGATGACGGTACTAGCCTGCTCTGAGGATAGTTTTAACCCGATACCTTCACCGACCACGCAAGGCTCTTCATCCGGCGGGCAGGGGGTCACCTCAGGAGGTGGAGGAACGGGTGACGTGATGGTCGGTAGGTAACTTGCCCAGAACCGGAGGAGATGTTGCCAGTTGTTGTCGTTGCCGGAGAAGGCTTGAGGACAATCGGTAAGTGACATGTACCTAAGATCATTCGAGTTGAATTTTGGCCACTCAACGCCGGACAGCGAAGTCCCCGGAGTCCTTNATCTTTACAACTTCAAGATATTCATCAATTGGCACTTTCACTGAAGAAAATTCATTCATGTTTTCATGTAAAACGTAGCACAATAAGAGTGAAAAGTAATTCCAAGGTAAGGTAGCTTCCAATCTTGGAAATAAAATCAGGACATATGAAATAAACATTACAAAACACAGACTTCAATTTGAACGTATTCTCAGCATACCCCGTGGATTGATGTCCACCTTATTAAAACAAATAATGACTCATGGGCGTCATGGGCGTAGATTGCTTGCCACATATGGGGGATGATTTCGTATTTATCCATCGACCTCAGCACGGCCTCCATCCCAGATTAGATCGTGACGCCGGCAATTACGGAGTTGTTGGTAGGCCTATATACGGGTGCACATTAGGTCAGTGTTTCGTGACAACGCAGGCGGAGACAGGCTTTTTATTTTGAGAACACTTTAATATGACCAGCTTTTCATGACAACATGAAATACACAGGTCAGGGGTCAAGCATGCCAGGCATCTCTAGGTGGCGCCAGTGGCAGGGCACACTCGACATTCAAGTCGAGTTCAGGCGGCCTATTCTCGACACGGGTTTCTTGTTCTCGCGCTCGAACAATGGGAACACGACTCAAGAACTCTGTTCGGAACAGGATCACACTGTGACACCACCTCCTCGTCAGGGTATTACGGGAACACACAGAAAAACTTGTGAGGTTTTGATTTTTGAACAGCTGCAAAAAGTAGAGAAATGGCACTCTCGAATAACGTACATATACATGTAACACCATATTGCATGTTGGTTGTCACTATCAGCGACAACCGGTTGTATGTCTTCGGTGTTCGAGCGGCCGACCCAAGAACAACGAATCAAGCTGTTTGTGATTATACGAGAACAAGCCGCCCGAACTCAGCCACTGTGTCTTGAAAGGTGTGTGCATGGGGGGAGGTGAATTATATCGGTAATCCCCCCTCCCCAGGTCAAAAAGAAGGAGGATATATCGCCATCCCCCAATATCTCTTCCCATGATACCCATTTAAGTATCAAAAGGCCGTAATAGTCTTTTCTTCCCAAGTCGGAAATTGTGTATAGATGAACTAGGGCAAGCCTTCAAACAAATTGTGTAACAATGATTCACAAAGCGTAAACAAAGCTAGTCTTGGGTCCAAGACGTTCCTATCTGTAGCTTTGTTCGTCTATTCATGAACGCTTCAGCGCAGTAAATTTTGCCAGTC